GCCTGCCTGCAGTTAGTGTTTTTGTGTCTCTTGGGTATCCCTCATTAAACACTTTGAAGAGGTCTTTTGCAGGAGATTTGCCCAATGCAGTATGTTTGATTTTTTTGACTGCTGCTTCCATGGACATTGTGGATCCAAGTAAAATGAAATCCTTGAAAACGTCAGTCTTTTCTCCATTTATCATGCTGTTGCTTATTGGTCCCGTTGTGAGGATTTTTGTTTTCTTTATGTTGAGGTGTAACCCATACTGAAGGCTGTAGTCTTTGATCTTTCAGCAATAAGTGCTTCAAGTCCTCCTCGCTTTCAGCAAGCAAGGTTGTGTGATTTGCATATTGCAGGTTTATTTGCACAGCATACCGATTGAATAAGTATGGTGAAAGGATACAACCCTGACCCACACCTTTCCTGATTTTAAACCACACAGTATCCCCTTGTTCTGTTTGAATAACTGCCTCTTGGTGTACGTGGAGGTTCCGCGTGGGCACAATTAAGTGTTCTGGAATTCCCATTCTTTACAATGTTATACATAATTTGTTACAATCCACACAGTTGAATGCCTTTACATAGTAAAATACAGAGAAACATCTTTCTGGTATTCTCTGCTTTCAGCCAGGATCCGTCTGACATCAGCAGTGATATCCCTCATTCCACGTCCTCTTTTGATTCCAGCTTGAATTTCTGGCAGTTCCCTGTCGATGTACTGCTGCAACCGTTTTTGAATTATCTTCAGCAAAATTTTACTTGTGTATGACATTAACGCTATTGTTCGATAATTTCCGCATTCTGTTGGATCACCTTTCTTTGGAATGGGTGCAGATATGGATCTCTTCCAGTCAGTTGGCCAGGTAGCTGTCTTCCAAATTTCTTGGTGTAGATGAATGAGCTCCTCCAGCGCTGCATCTGTTTGTTGACACATCTCAACTGGTATTCCGTCAATTCCTGGAGCCTTGTTTTTCGCAAATGCCTTCAGTGAGACTTGGACTTCTTCCTTCAGTAACATCAGTTCTTCATCATATGCTGCCTCCTGAAATGGTTGAACATTGACCAATTCTTTTTGGTATAGTGACTCCATGTGTTCCATCTTCTTTTGATGCTTCCTGCGTTGTTCAATATCTTGCCCATAGAATCCTTCAGTATTGCAACTAGAGGCTTGAATTTTTTCTTCAGTTCTTTCAGCTTGAGAAATGCCAAGTGTGTTCTTCCGTTTTGGTTTTCTAACTCCAGGTCTTTGCACATTTCATTATAATACTTTACTTTGTCTTATCGAGCCACCCTTTGAAATCTTCCATTCAGCTCTGTCACTTCATCATTTCTTCCATTTGCTTTATTTACTCTGTGTTCAAGAGCAGCTCTCAGAGTCTCTTCTGACATCTGTTTTGATCTTTTCTTTCTTTCTTGTCTTTTTAATGACCTTTATCTTTCTTCATGTATGATGTCCCACAACTCATCTGGTCTTCAGTTATTAGTGTTCAGTGCGTCAAATCTGTTCTTGAGGTGGTCTCCAGATCCAGGTGGGATATACTCAAGGCCGTATTTTGGTTCTCGTGCACTTGTTTTAATTTTCTTCAGCTTCAACTTAAACTTAGATATGAGCAATTGATGGTCTTTTCCACAGTCGACCTCTGGTCTAGTTCTGACTGATGATATTGAGCTACTCTGTCGCCTCTTTCCACAGATGTAGTCAGTTTGATTCCTGTGTTTTCTATCCAGTGAGGTTCATGTGTATAGTCACTGTTTATGTTGTTGAAAAACGGTATTTGCAAATGAACAAGTTGTTGGTCTTGCAGAATTCTATCATGTGATCTCAGATATCATTTCTATCACCAAGGCCATATTTTCCAACTAAAAATCCTTCTTTGTTTCCAACTTTTGCATTCCTATCACCAGTAATTATCAATGCATCTTGATTGCGTGTTTGATCAATTTCAGACTGCAGAAGTTGGTAAAAATCTTCAATTTCCTCACCTTTGGCATTAGTCTTTGGTGCATAAATTTGAATAATAGTCGTATTAACTGGTCTTTCCAGTACTCGTATAACACTGACAGCGTTGTGCTTCAGGATAGATTTTGAAATGTTCTTTTTGATGATGAATGCGACACTATTCTTCTTCAATTTGTCATTCCCAGTATAGTAGACCATATGATTGTCTGACTCACAATGGCCAATACCAGTCCATTTCAGCCCACTAATGCCTAGGATATCGATTTTTATGCATTCCATTTTGTTATTTGATGACTTCCAATTTTCTTAGATTCATACTTCATACGTTCCATGTTCCAGTTATTAATGGATATTTGCAGCTGTTTCTTCTCATTTTGAGTCATGCCATATCGGCAGATGAAGGTCCCAAAAGCTTTACGCCATCCACGTCATTAAGGTCAACTCTTCTTCGAAAGAGCATGTTTCTGGGCATGACACAATTCCTTTTTGTTTCTTTACTCTGTGAACTGAATAGTCTGATACAACATCATTTTTTAAAACCTCTAGGTTTATTTCAGGGTATAGATGGCTATAATGTATTGCATCATCTCTCTCTGTACATGCAGATTTCCTAATGTGCTTTTTGCTCTTCTGGAAACTTCCTTGTACCTAATCTTTATCTGATTTGATTCCTCAGAGTAAAGAACTACCGAGTCAAGGAATTATCCTTTTAGAAAAATACTGTTTTTTATTATAAATGTAATTTGTGTTTATTGTAGAAAATTTTGGAAGATGTGGTAAAAGTGTGAAGAAGTTATTATATCACTCTACCATCCAGATATAATCTTTGCTAACATTTTCGTGTTTTTCTTTATGACTTTTTTTTGTATGTATTTCTATATATATAGAGAGAGAAACTTTTTTTTATTTTTACAGACTTATTCTTTGAAAACAATTCTGAATGGTGAAAACAATTCTGAATGGTGGTACAGTGGTTAAAGCACTTGGCTGCTAACTGACAGGTCAGAGGTTTGAACCCGCCAGCCGCTCTGCAGGAGAAAGATGTGACAATCTGCTTCTGTAAAGATTTACAGCCTTGGAAACCCTATGGGTCAGTTCTACTCTGTCCTTTAGGGTCACTGTGAGTTGGAATTAACTTGATGGCAGTGTTTTTCTTTTGTGTGTTTTTTTTTTTAATGTAATATTCTGTCTTATGGATGTTCTAGAATTCATTTAGCTACATTGTTTTTGGACAATTAAATAGTGACAGTGTGCACAAGCCAGATACGTTTCCTGCCATTTGTGAGCTCATTAGAAATAACTACCAAATGACAGCTGTCTTAACCGTTTCAAGGGAGAACTACAGGCACTGTGAAAATGTCTAATGGGAATCTCAAGGATGGCTTTCCCAAGGAAATGACATTCTGCTGAGACCTGAAGGATGAGCAACATTTAGCCAGGCAAGAGGTTGGGAGAAGAATGTGCCCTGTAAGGGTTGTGGAGCGGGGGTGGGGGACATACTACCCTCATGAGGTGAGGAAGACTTTACCGTTCTGTATGCTCCAAAGAATCTATAGTAAGTGAAGAAGGAGCCCTGATGGTGCAACAGTTAAATGCTCGGCTGCTTACTGAAAGGTTGGCAGTTCAAAACTACCCAGGGCTCTGCAGGAGAAAGACCTGGAGATCTGCTCCTGTAAAGATTACAGCCAAGAAAAGTCTATGGGGCAGTTCTACTCTGTCTCATGGGGTTGCTGTGAGTCAGAATTGACTTGACAGCACCTAACAACAAAACAAATGTTATGTCTTTTCTGCAGTCTTCTGTCTGTCTGTCTTATTCTCACACGAATCGATCAGTAGAGAACTGCAGAGCAGAGTAGCGAGTAACCTGAGATGCGTTCTCAAGGCCCAGTTCTCAAAACCAGAATGTGCATAAATGGGGTTTAGGAGTGGATGCAGGGCCAGTCACAGACAGAGCTATAAAGCAGGCAACAAAAATGATTTCATTTTTTTTTTTTCCTCATATAATCCTTACACATAGCCTCATGAGACAGCCACTATTGTTTCCTTTTGCAGATGAGGAAATTGAGGTTTAAATGAATTACCCAAGGTCACAGAGCTAATGAACTACAGAGCCAGAGACCAAAGTCAGAGGAGATAAGCCTGTGTTCTTTCCACTGTCATTCTGTAGATTGTCTCTTCACCTTGTTGATAAAATCCTTTGATGTACGGAAGTTTTTAATTTTGATGAAGTCCAATTTATCTGTTTTGTCTTTTGTTGCTTGTGCTTTTGGTGTCATAGCTAAGAATCCATTGTCAAAAACTAGGTTCCAAAGCTAAAGCTTAAACCCTTATGTTTTCTTCTACAAGTTTTATGGTTTTAGTCTTATATTTAGGTCTTTAATACATTTTGAGTTAATTTTTGAATATGGTGTGAGGTATGGGCCCAGCTTCATTCTTTTGCTTGTGAAGATCCCAGCACCATTTAGCAAGTAAACTATTCTTTCCCCCTTGAATGGATTTGATACCCTTATTGAAAATTACTTGGCCATAGGTATATGGGTTTGTTTCTGGATTCTCAACCCTATTCCATTGATCTATATGTATCCTTACACCATGTGATGTGTGTCAGCTTGGCTGGGCCGTGATTTTCAGTGGTTTTGCAGTTATGATGTAGTTTGGCAGCTATATAATAATGTAATCACCTCTGTGATTAGATCTGTTATGAGCAACCAATCAGGTGAAAGGGAGTTTCCTTCAGGGTGTGGCCTGCATCCAATATAGGTGGACTTTCTGGAAAAGCTTGCCAGCTTTTGCTCTCTCTGGATCCTGTAGCTGGCTCATGTTCATCTGACCTCTGGTACTTGGGACTTGAGCCAGCAGCTTACCTGCTGATCTTGGGATTCATCAGCCTTCGCAGCCTGTGAACAGCAGCCTGCCATTCTTACTTGCTGACCTTGGGATTTGTCAGCCTCCACAGCCAGTGAGCTAGATGCCTGCTGTGTGACCTGCCAATCTTGGGTTCGCCAGCCCCTGCAGCTACGTGAGTCAGAAGAAGCCTCCAGCCTGACCCACAGACTTTGGACTTTCCACCCTCTACAACCGCATGTGCCATTTCCTTGATATAAATCTCTGTGTGTGTGTGTATGTGTGTATACACTTCACTGGCTTTGTTTCTCTAGAGAACTCAGCCTAAGACATACCAGTACCACACTTTCATTATTGTGGGTTTACCGTATGTTTTGTAATCAGGGCATGTGAGTCCTCTTACTTCATTCATTTTTTTTTTTTTTTAAAGATTTTTTAGCTATTTGGGGCACCTTACAATTCCATATCAATTTGAGGATCAGTTTTTTCATTTATTCAATAAAGATTGTTTGGATTTTGATAAGGATTGTGTTGAATAAGGCTTTGAGTGGTACTGACATCTTAACAATATTAAGTCCTCCAATCCATGAACATAGGATGTCCTTTCATTTATTTAAGTCTTCTTTAATTTCAGCAATGTTTTACAGTTTTCAAATGTATAAGTGTTTCACCTTCTTGGTTATATTTATTCCTAGGTATTTTATTTTAGATGCTTTAGTAAATGAAGTTGTTTTCTTAATTTCCTTTTCATATTGTTCATTGCTAGTTATAAAAACACAACTGATTTTGAGTGTTTATCCTGTACCCTGTGACTTTGCTGAATTTATTTATTAGCTGTTGTAGATTATTTGGGATTTACTATATATAGGATCACATCATTTGCAAGTAGATACAATTTTACTTTTTCCTTTTAAATTTTGGAGCCCTGGTGGCACAGTGTTTAAACGATCCACTGCTAACCAAAGGGTTGGCAGTTTGAAACCACCAGTGCCTCCATGGGCGAAAGATGTGACATACCTTTAATTTAATTTTTCTTTAATTTAAATTTATTTTTCTTGCCTGATTGCTTTGACTAGAAATTCTAGTATAATGTTAAATAGCAGTGCTGAAAGTATGCATCTCTGTCTTGTTCTTGATTTTAGGGGGAAAGCCTTCAGTTTTCTCCACTGAGTGTGATGTTTGCTGTGGGGCTTTCATAGACAATTTTATTGTGTTGAGGAATTCCTTCTCTATTCCTAGTTTGGTGAGTGTTTTTATCATGAAATGGTGTTGGATTTGGTCAAATGCCTTTTTTGGGTCAATTGATATGGTCATGTGGTTCTTTTCTTTCCTTTTATTTATGTGATGGATTACGTTGATTGATTTTCTTATGTTGAACCATCCTTGCATTCCTGGGATAAATTCCACTTGGGCATGGTGTATAATCCTTTTACTATGCTACTGGATTCAGTTTGCTAGTTTGTTGTTGAGAGTTTTTGCATTTGTGTCCATAAGGTATATTGATCTGTAGTTTTCTTTTCTTCTAGTGCATTGCCTTTGGTGTCAGGGTAATGCTCACCTCATAAAATGATTTAGGAAGTGTTCTCTCCTCTCTCTCTTTTTGGGAAGAGTTTGAGAAGGATTGGTGTTGATTTTTCTTTAAATGTATAGTAGAATTCCCCAGCATAACCATCTGATCCAGGACTTCTTTGAGGGGGTGGGTTATTGATTACTGATTCAACCTCTTCACTTGTTATGGACCTACTGAGATTTTCTATTTCTTCCTGAGTCAATCTAAGTAGTTTGTGTGTTTCTAGGTTATCTAATTTGTTGGCATGCAGTTGTTCATAGAACTATCTTATCATCCTTATATTTCTTTGGGGTCAGTTGTAATGTTCCCAATTTCATTTCTTATTTTAGTTATTTGCATCTTCTCTCTCTTTTTCCATTAGCCTAGCTAAAACCAAAAGCCAAAAACGTTGCCTTCAAGTTGATTCCGACTTGTGGTGACCTCATGTATTACAGAGTGGAACTGCTTCCTGGGGTTTTCTTGGCTGTAATCTTTACGGAAGAAAATCTCTAGGCCTTTCTTTTGCAGCACTGCTGGGTAGGTTCAGCCACTATCCTTTAGGTTAGTAGCCAAGAGCAAACCATTTGCACTACCCAGAGAACACAGTCTAGCTAAACCTTTGCCAATTTTATTGATCTTAAAAAAAAAAAAAAAAAAAAGCTTCTGGTTTCATTGGTACTCTCTGTTGTTTTTCTGTTCTCTATTTCATTTATCTCTGCTCTGGTCTTTATTATTTCCTTCCCTCTGGTAACTTGAGACTTAGTTTGCCCTTGTTTTTATAGTTCCTCAAGTTGTAAACTTAGGCTGTTAATTTGGTATCTTCTTTTTTAATGTAGGTGTTTGCTGCTATAAATTTTCCTCTGAGCACTGCCTTTGTTGCATACCATAAGTTTTGGTATGTGCTCTCATTTTCATTTATCTCTAAGTATTTTCAGTTATCTTTTTGATTTTTCCTTTACCCATTGGTTGTTTATGGTATGTTGTTTAATTTCCACATAGTTGTGTAATTTCCGGTTTTACTTTTGTTGTTGATGTCTTGTTTTGTTCCATTGTAGTCAGAGAAGATACTTTGTATGTTTTCAATCTTTTTAAATTTATGAGACCTGTTTATGACCCAGAATATGGTCTGTCCTGAGGAATGGTCCATGTGCACTGGAGAAGAATATGTATTGTGCTTTTTTGGGGTGGAGTGTTCTGTACATGTCTGTTAGGTCTAGTTGGTTTATAGAGTTGTTCAAATCCTCCATTTCTTTATTGATCTTCTATCTAGATGTTTTATCCTTTATTGAGAGTAGTTTACTGAAATTTTCACCTATTGTTGTAGAACTGTCTATACCCACTGCTCACTTATAGATATAGTTAGGTTCCAAAGACCAAGTCATTGTATGAAAGTCGGCATTATGCAGAAATGTAGGATGAACATATCACATTATAAAATGGAGGATGAATACTTACTACATAACTTCCAAATTACATCACTGCATAACTGTCAAACTACATCATTACATAACTGCCAAATTACTTCATTATATAACTGCCAAATTACATCATTACAGAACTGCCAAACCACTGAGAATCATGGCCCAGTCAAGTTGACACATAACCTTAACCATCACAGCCAGAGTTACTCTCTCCTTGCACCTAGGCATTGGTTACTGCCAGATGTATGTAAAATAGTTGGATAGTAGATTTTTTACTATTGACATAAATACGAAATGTCGGATAACGAGATAGTCAATAAATGAGGAGTAGGTGTATTCTCCCTTCAATTTTGTCAATGTTTGCTTCAAATATTTTGGGAGCTCTGATGTTAGGTACATATATATTTATAATTGTTATATCTCCTTGATGAATTGACCTTTTTATCTTTATATAATGCTCTTCTTTAACTTTTGTAACAGTTTGATTTAAAGTCTATTTTGTATGGTATCAATAGAGCCAGTCCAGCTCTCTTTTGGTTACTTTGTGCATGGGATTTTTTTTCATCCTTTCTCTGTCAGCATATTTGTGTCTTTGGGCCCATGGTGTGTCTCTTGTAGATGACATGTAAATGGATCATGTTTTTTTAATCCATTCTGCCAACCTCTGCCTTTTGATTGAAGAGTTTAATCCATTTACATTTAAAGTAATTACTGATATGGAAGGATTTGTACCATTTTGCTGTTTGTTGCTTGTGAGTCTTATACCTTTTTTGATCTTCATTTCCTTCTTTTGTGTTTAGTTGATTTTTTGTAGTGAACCCTCTTGATCTTCCTTTTCCTTTTGTATATATATTTTTGACATTTTCTTTGTTGTTACCATGGGTTTTACACTTACCCTAAGTTTATAACAATCTAATTTAAATTGATACCAACTTAATTTCAATAACATACAAACACTCTATTCCTAAACTGCTTCTTCCCTATCTATGTTGTTGTTATCAGAAATTACATCTTTATACATTATGTGCCTGATAACAAATTTATTATTATTTTATGCATTTATCATTTTAAATCATGTTGGACGTAACAACTAGAGTTACAGACCAAAAGCTGGCTCTTATATTCGTCAAATTACCTTTACTGGAATTTTTTTTTTTTTCTTTATATGGCTGTGAGTCATTGTTTTTCATTTCATTCTGGAGGATTCCCTTTAGCATTTGTTGCAGGGCAGGTCTAGCCATAGCAAACTCCCTTACCTTTTGTTTATCTGGGAATGTCTTGATTTTGACCTCATCTTTGAAGGACAGTTTTGCCAGATACAGAATTCTTTGCTGACAGTTCTTTTCTTCAGCACTTTAAGAATTTCATTCTACTGGTTTGTGAGGAGAAGCCATCATTTAATTTTATTGAGGATCCCTTGTATATGATAATTCACTTCTTTCTTGCTGCTTTCAGGATTCTCTCTTTATCTTTGTTTTTTGAAAGATTCTAACATTTCTTGGTCTGTATTTCTTTGAGTTCATCCTACTTGGAGTTTGTTGAGCTTTTAGAATGTGTAGATTCATGTCTTTTATCAAATTTGGGAAGTTTTCTGCCGTTGTTTCTTCAAATGTTCTTTCTGTCCCTTTTTCTTTCTTCTCTTTCTGGGACTCCCATAGTGCATATGTTGGTTTGTTTGATGGTGTTGCACAAGTTCCTTAGGCTCTGTTCTCTTTTCTTCATTCTTTTTTGCTCCTCAGACTCAATAATTTCATTTGTTCTGTCTTCTGGTTGGCTAATTCTTTCTTCTGCCACCTCAAATCTGCTGTTGATCACCTCCAGTGAATTCTTCATTTAAGTTATTGTATTTTCAGCTCCAGTAATTCTGTTTGGTTCCTTTTAGTGTCGGCCTCTTTACTGATATTCTTGTTTTGTTCATGTATTCTTTTCCTGATTTCCTTTAATTCTTTGTCTGTGTTTCTGTTTAGTATTTGAGGATATTTAATGCTGTTGTTTTAAAGTCTTCTAATCTGTTCATTATCTGGGATTCCACAGAGATGGTTTGTCATTTTATTTTGTTCTTTTGAATGTGCTCTTCTTTTCTGATTCTTTGTATGCTTTGTGATTTTCTGTTAAAATCAGGATATTTGAATATTATAATATTTTAGTTCTAACTCAGATTTTCCCTTTCCCCCAGGTTTGGAATTTTGTTTTTAATTGATAAAGGCTCTAATAGTCTGTTTGTTTAGTGACCTCCCTTAACTATTTTTGCGTTAACTGCCCTCCTAGACTTGTGTGAACACTGAGGACTCAAAACACCCATGCCCAGCTAGTGTTTTGAAACAGACTACCTTGTACTCCAGGGAGAGGAGAACCCATCTCTCCCAGTCTTTTCAATTTGTTCTGTGTTGGGGACTTCCTTCAACACTTAGGCTGGCTTGCAGTACACTTAGAGATCAGCCTGAGGTGAAACTGTAGGGTCTTAGGTATTTTCTTTGCGTGCATTTTTCCCTGAGCATGTGTATGACTTTCTCAATTCCACTATATACAAAACAATTTTCTTTGCTAGTGGGCTACTTTTCTTGAATCCGTTCTTTACTTTAGGGGGCAGCGCATTGAGGAGGGTTATGTTAAGGAGGTAGGGAGTTTAATTCCAACCCTGTTTTCTTGCATGCTCTGAACCTCAGGTTCTGTCCCAGACAGGGCTTTAAAACCCACCATGTGGAGGATGAGATTGACAGTGCCCCACATGGCTGTCATATGGATTTCTGCCCCACTTCCAGTGCATACCCTGTTTGTTTATGGTCCCTGGATTTCTTTTGCTTTCTAGTGAGCTCACCTATGTATTTGAAAGGATGTTTGTAATGTTTTATCCAACATATATTATAGGTGTTTTGTAGCAGGAAGTTTTTTTAGTTTTCCAGTCCTCCATGTTGCCAGAAATAAGTGATATTCTCCTTCTAAGGAATAAAAATTATGATCTGTGATTCTTAGGAATATGAAAAATAGCTCATCTTAGAAACTCTTAAGTCTGTCCTCCAACAATAAAGGCACACCAGGCACCGGGTAGAACTTTTCAAGAGTGTTTTGAATGATGATATTTTGCACTGAGATGTCTTCTCTGTTTTCTTTACAGGGCACTGCTCTGAGGGGTGAAAGTGCTATAGTTTGGGGCATTCTTAGCATTCAGAAAGCAACCAGACATGTCCTTGGATGACATTAAGATGAAATCTACTGACTTCCTGCAAACAGCGCACCTAGACAGTGGGGGCTTCGGAAAAGTGTCTCTATGCTGTCACAGACTCCATGGACTTGTGATACTGAAAAACGTATACACAGGGCCCAAGCGCACCGAGTGAGTTGGGAGCACAGGTGGGGTGGGACAAATTGAGGGATTGCCCCAGAGAGTAATCGTTGTGGAGGTGTGGGACAGTGTAGTGAGTAAGGGTAGTGCAGGCTTGAGAGTGAGACAGATGTGGTTTATATCTCAGTACATGGCCTTTATGTCAGGTGGAACAGTAGCCCTGCAAGTGGTTATTATTATTAACCCTGTGTTACACAGGAGGATTCTGAGGCTGGTGGCTAGTGAAGCTCACAGCCAGTAAATAACAGAAGAAAAATGAAGGGAAAAGAAATAAAGGGTGATGAGGGAGGCAATGAGAATAAAATAAGAAGGATCACTGAAAATAGGCCTTATTTGTTTGTTTCACATTTTTGGTGAGGACACCAGCCTTAACTATGATAATAAAGGTGATTCGTTAGAGGTTCAAAGAACCTTCGCTTTGAAAGCAACTGGTGGCATAGTTTTAGTTCTCCCTCTTCTTGTCAAGTTGGTTATGAGAGTGGCTGCATTTTTTTTTTCTATACTGTCCAATATAATCTCTTTTTTTTAATGTGACATTGTTGCTACGTATTTACTTTTCATTCATTTGTGCATTGATTTAATGTTTATTGAATACCCATTGGAAAGTGGGAATACAAAGATGAACGAGAAATTGCCCGGCCTTCTAAAGCTTGTAGGCTGTCCCTGGAAGAGATGAATCATACACAAGTAATTAAAAACATGTGAGATGTGATGGGTTGGAGGTGTATACAGAGTTTTCGGGGTGTGCTGAGGGAGAAGGGCCTACCTCTGCCCATGTTTACCCAGCACTTTTCCTTCCTACAGATACAATGAGTCCCTTCTTGAGGAGGGGAAGATGATGCACAGACTGAACCATAATCGAGTGGTGAAGCTGCTGGGCGTCATTATTGAGGATGGCAACTACTCTCTCGTGATGGAGTACATGGAGAAGGGAAACCTGATGCAAGTGCTGAAAGGGGAGGTAGAGAACTCTGATGCACACTTCATAGACACTGACGTGGCTGCTGGTTGTTGATTATGGTTATCAGTGTGGTAATCTTTTGTAGCTTACTGAAGTGAAATAAGTGAAATAATATGTTTGTAAATTGCTAGATATTTAGGATTTTCTGAAGTCAGTCCCTCGTTAAATCTTCCTTGACTTTCCCTGTCCAGAGGTGCTCTGTCACCTATCAATTCCTGCAGATAGCTGTCTGTATCACTCACTTAGTACTGCAGTTGTCTTTTTACAATCCTTTCAGCCACTCTAAGGTCCACAGTTCAGAGATAGGCCCTGTCTTCATGAAGTACATGTTCTGATGTGGGGTATATACATAATGGATAACAGTTACAAATTGATTGAGTAGTTAAAGCATGCATACTATAATTATATGACTTACTGTAAGAGAAGAAGGAATGTTAGTGATTACATACTGATACCATTTAAGGAACATTTATTTTAGGTTAAATATAGAAAATTACAGGCAATAACACTGGATATGATTTAACACAGGTACCTAAAAATTGTTTATCAAAACCAAATATTTTTAAAACTTATTTTTTTTTAGGTTTATGCACCCATTAAGAGCAAGGTCTTGTGCTAGTTGTTCAAGAATCAGTAGCAAGTATAACACTGACAAGTAACAGGAGGCAGACAGGTAAATGGAGGTGCGTTAGGAAGGTGTTTTGGTAGACAGACTTGCAGTGTGCTATGGGAGCAGAGGAGAGGCGCCTGCCCTAGCTGGGGCAGACAGGAAAGGCTTCCAGGAGAGGACGTGTGAGGTTTGAAGGACATGGAGAAGTTTTGAAGGAGAGAATCAAGGGATAAGTATTTCAGGCAGAAAGAATGGCCTGTCCAAATGAATGAGTTGCCACATTTTGCAAACTGCAAATAACTGGGTTTGCCCAGAGCATAGATTGCCCAGATCCCTGTGAGGAATGGTGGGATATGACTGCCTTTATGGCAAATAGTCCTCTTTTTCCCATCTTCTCCCCCTCCACCCCACAGCTGCCTGGTAAACCAAAAAAACCAAACCCATTGTCATCAAGTCGATTCCAACTCCTAGAGACCCCAAAGGACAGAGTAGAACTGCCCCATAGGGTTTCCAAGGCTGTACAGAAGCAGACTGCCACATCTTTCTCCCACAGAGTGGCTAGTGGGTTCGAACCACTGACCTTTCAGTTAGCAGCCAGGTGCTTTAACCACTGTGCTACCAGGGCTCCTACAGCTGCCCCAGGCTATGTCAATTCTTTTTTGTCAACAGACATCTCTCAGAAATGCAGACACTTGTGGGAAAGATAAAAGGTGACCACTTATACACATTATATTGTAATTTGATCAGATTGCTCTCCTCCCCAAAACCAGATGGTATTAATTGCATGCAGTAAGTAGCCATTGTGACTGGCAGTGAAGTCAGTTGGGGCATGAAGCATCCTACAGGATTAGGGTAACCTAAGGAACACCAGTGGGGCAGAGAAAGAAAGTCAGGAGGACAATACAGAAAGAGGGTGGGAGGATAACCAACTTTACTTGCTTAGAATATTTTCCTAAATCCAAGTGTATACTAAGGAAGACGGGAAAGAATCTCTTCTGCTATTTTGTACAGTAGTAATCAGGCTTTTAATACTGCAGTTCAGCTACATTATGAGTTAAATATGGTTTGGGGGTTGACATGGGAGTCTAACTTCCATCATTTAAATTTTTTTCTGTTTACAGACAACCAATATGTATGTATACATATACATAAATTTTTAGGAAGCAGCCTGTTTGTAAACTGGGGGCTGTGTGTATGTGTATACCAAAAACTATTGCCGTGGAGTCAATTGCAACTCATAGCGAACCTATAGAACAGAGTAAAACTGCCCCATAGGGTTTCTAAGAAGCAGTTGGTGGATTCAAACTACTGACCTTTTGGTTAGCAGCTGAGCTCTTAACCACTGTGCCACCAGGGCTCCATATGTATAAATATATATGTGTATATATTTGTATATGTACATATATACGTATACACATATACATATATACACACACATATAAATATATACATTTCAGTGTTAAACAAAACTAATGTTTTGTTTAATCACTATAATAGAAACTGGAATTGTTTCCTAACACTGATGTTCATATAACTGGAGTACAGTAGTAAAGGTGAGCTGAGACTATACAAAGACCTGAAGTATCTGATACCAAATTACTAAATACATAATAAATTATCTTCAGCATAGGTGTTTTGGTTGTTGTTGTTTGTTTTGGTAAAAATATATGTAGCAAAAGATACACTATTTCAGCAATTTCTACACATACAAATCAGTGACACTGATTGTATACTTTAAGTTGTGCAGCCATTCTCATTATCATTTCCCAAATTATTCCACCACCATTAACTTAAACTTACTGCCTCCCTAAGCTTCTCATCCAACCTTTTGAGTTGCTCTTTGTTTTCACATAAATAATTCTTTAAAACAGCACAGTGCTCAAGATAGACATACTTTACTATTTAAGTTAAACCGTTACTGAATGTTTTTATCAAAGATTCTATAGAAGAATCCTGATCAAAAGGGGGAAAATGTGCTGGAACAGAATTTCAAATTCTTGATGGAATCCATATTTTCTGGGGCCACTGAGGCTGGTTGAACTCCTGAAACTATTGCCCTGAGATAATCTTTAAACTTTAAACCGAAACTATTCCCTGAAGTCTTTGTTCAGCCTAGTTTTAACATCATGTCTCATAGCTTAATTTTTACATGGTTGGAATTAATGTCAATACATTGTTTTATTTTCTTTTTTCTCTTAACTTTACTTCATATCCACATTTCTATGGCATTGTTCTCATATTTAATATACATATGGAATCACATCATTTTAATACACTATGAAGAATGTTTGTATATATAATTATCCATTCATTCAACAAGGATCCACTGTTCAGGTACCACACTATGTACTAATATGCAATCCTAAATAGTAATGGTAATATATGGTTTTATTCTCAAGGAGCTTAATTTTATAGCATTTTTATATGTTGCCAGAATGGCATAGAATTTTAATTTTTACACTGACAAGATACAACATAAATACCCTGAGGCCCTGGAATGAAATCTCTCTTTAAAAGGTGGCTTGTTCTATACTGACAGCAGTGCTGCAGAGCATGGTAGAAGGGCATCTGGCAAATGTAGCCTCGAGTTCAGACCCTGTTACTCTTTAATGAAACAGTTGTTTTGGCCTGCTTGATTACTTTCCCATTTCATAGAGTTAATATCACTTGTTTTAGGTCAGCATCCCCCTTTCTGTAAAAGGAAGGATAATTTTGGAGACTGTTGAAGGAATGTGCTACTTACATGGAGAAGGTGTGATACACAAGGACCTGAAGCCTGAAAATATCCTCGTTGATGATGACTTTCACATTAAGGTAAACCACAGTCTATAAGCTTCTAGAAGATTGGAGTAATTTTAATTCTTCACTGTAAATCCATTTTGTAGATGGTAAATGATAAAGGAAGATGTATCTCAGCTTATAACTGGTGATGGTGATGCCGAAAGGTTCTACCAAGGCTTGGAAAGATACAGAATTTATGGAGTTGGGAAGTAACTGTAAGGATGTAATTCTTATGTCTTTTTGGGAGGAGTAGAATTGAATGTTTACTAGATTTCTTTTTTCTTTTCCTCCTCTGTTAGAGACTTTGAGATACAGACATTCAAGGGTTGCCTTTTTCACCTTGGAATGGGTCATGTGCCTCATCATTTTCCCCGGGAAATGTGTGTGAATGAGGAAGTGAGGGAAGCATGAGGGCGTGTGTGGAAAAATCCTAGTGTTCAAAGATGGCCCAAGAGTCGGATCAGCAGCAAGCTGGCCATTTGGCATAAAAAACTTCTGCTTTGAAAGTTGGCTGCATTTATATTTTTTATTTGTTTACTTCCATGTATATTTTTTACCAATTTCCTTTTGAAAACTCTTAACTCTTTCTGTTGTAGTAAAGGGAACAAGGAAAGGGAATTTTTGTTTTGTTCACTCAAGGAGAAGATTTAACTAGGGAGAGCATCATATCCAATTGGGCTTGGTCACAAGAATCAGACTCAAGAATCTGAAAGGAGAAGCAGCATTCAAGAGGAAGGACTCATGAACTGTTTGCACAAGAAGATTCTGCATCTAGTTTTGTTTTAGTCTTGGAGGCGTTTTTATCCCTGTGTCTTTAAAGGGAGGTTATTTCTTTACATTAATAACTGTTATGTTCTGGGATGAATTAAGGTCGAGTAGCCCCACTGTGGATTTTAGGTAATCACATGCCAAAATTCATCCCCAAATACTTGCTTGGATCTCTAGAGGCAAAAGTGGAACTGTCACCTTTGATTTCTTCTTAACTGTGTTTTTCTGTTATTTTGCCCTACCACCTCTCTCTTTGTTTTGTGAATAACCTTGGTGTCTCTCTGCTGCTTTATGTTTTTCTCCTCCTTCCTATCCTGTCTTCTCTTAGGTTCAGGCTATCAGCTCAAAACAAGTAGCACCACAGTCCTTATCCTCAGTGTGTCTTTGGAATCCTTGGAAACTCACATCCATGAGCCTCTGGACATCATTTGAGAAAATAGAAGGTGCAGCACCCAGTCGCCATCTGCAGCACAAATAGGAGGTCTGCTGAGGAGAAAATACTCATTTTTTCCCTAGCTCTGGGAGTAGCTGAATAACATAGGCAGAGTAAATGGGGAATTAGAATAAATATATTTTATTATTGTTGTTCGTATCAGAAATGTCCTCTGCTTTTCTCCTCTCTTGCCCCAGAAAATTCCCTGCTTTTATTGCCTAAGAATTAAGGTACCAGAATCTCACATGGACATCTCAGGGGGAGGGAAGGATTTTCCAGATGGCTTAGAAAACACAAAGTTTCAATGAGTTTGTGATTGCAAGTCATCTTACATTTAAAACAGAAGTAGCTGTTTTAAACATGTCCAGTGCAGCCATTTCTGGAAAATTCATTGTACCTCACATCTATTGGATAAGCCCCCACATTTAAAGCCAAATCTGATTTGCTTATAGCCTTCACAGAACAATCCCATTGGTTTGATTTGTCTTGCAGATAGCAGATCTTGGTGTTGCTTCCTTTAAGACGTGGAGTAAACTGACTAAAGAGGAACATAACGAGCAGAGGAAAGTGAATTGTACCTCCAAGAGAAATGGCGGCACCCTCTGCTATATGGCCCCCGAGCATCTGAATGATGTCAACGCAAAGCCCACGGAGAAATCAGATGTATACAGCTTTGCCATAGTACTTTGGGCAATTTTTGCTAATAAGGAGCCATATGAAAGTAAGACATTTGTAAAGAAGTGGGATTTGGGTATTACTCAAATTGCTGCATGAAATAATGGCCTTCAGAGAAATCAGTTAAGAAGTTGTTTGTTCATTTAATGTCTTCCTTACCCACTATACTATAAGCCCCATGAGTGCTGGGACCCCATCTGACTTACTCACTGCTGTTTCCCCGGCACCTACATACACAGTGCCTGGACCATAGTAGGTGCTTAGTACATTTTTGTTGAATGAATGAGTAATATCAGCTTAGGAATCGGGGATCACAGGACCGATAGGAACCTTGACGGTACATCTAACCTGGGGAGGTGCTGTAAAGTTCCAGGATTCTCCCCGGACAGGAAATCTAGCTTACTTCTGCTTACTCAGACTTACCCTTCATACTACAAGGCATAAACTTCATACTTACGTTTATTCACTTACTCCTTCATTTAATTTTTTTTTTCCCAGTACTTACTGTGGGCACTTTGATAACTAGGAATATGAAGATAAATAAGATACGATTCATGCAGGAAAACAGATAGATAAATCATTCTTTAATTTTCTTAGTGCCTAAACTAATGGACATTTTTCTACACATTCTTCTTGGATGGTTTTTATCGGTTCCCACGGTTTAATGACCATCTCTTTGCTGATAGTTCTCAAAGCTCTGTTTCTAGCCCTGGCCTGGATATCTGGTTGTCTATTAGTCAGATCCATTACTTGCACCCAAGGAGCCTCCACAGCAACATTCCTCCCAAAAAATTCATCTCCTAACTGTTCTCCCTGTAGCCCACTCAGCTTTGCTGCTCCTCTTATGTTCAGAAAGTGACATTATCATCCACCTACCTAGTTGCCCAGCCAGAAACCTTAGGATCATCCCAAACTGAACCTTGTCCCTCATCTCCCACATCCAACTAGATGTCAGAACTGTGAATTCTTTATATGTGAATTCACACACCTCTGTCGCCACTGGCCTCTTTTTAGTTCAAGCCCTCTTTAGTTCTGCTTCAGATTCCTTGTCTATCTCACTTTATCCTCATCTGGCCCATCATTCACCCTGCAGCCAGAGCAATCATTCCACAACAACCAGCTCACTTACCTATTTAAAATCCTTCACACTCCCAGGGCCTTCAGGATAACATTCAAATTTCTCAGCATGGAATACAAGGCCCTTTATGGTTTGGCCTTTGCTTCTCTCTCTAGCTTGATTCTTTCCCATTCCCTCCTTTGTCAGAATGCCTAGTTATATTTGTATTTGTGGGACACATCATGATTTCTGTAACTTCCAATCTGTTCGTCTCCTGCTCCCCTAGCCTGGAATCCTTCTCCAAATCCTCCTTTCCCATTCTTTACCTGGATAAATCTGACGCATTTTTCTGGACTCAACACAGCCTTTTCTGACCTTCCAGTCCTGATTGTCTTACCAGAACCCCTGGTACTTACTTCTGTCATAGCAGTGATCACTCTACATTTTACGTCACTCTCATTGAGCTGAGTTCCTTAAAGGCAAGGGCTGTACTGTATTTGTCTTTGTATTAAAACCTGGAGTATGTTATTGGGTTTACTCACATACTCCATTTATTCTACCAGAAGGCAGCTTTGTTGCTAATTCCTTCATGTGCAGAAATTAAAATGTTTTGATCATCTTTGCAAAGGACTTTGTGAGCTTCTTGTCACAAGTCCATTCTGCCCCTACTGAATGAGGCAGCAACATTGTCCAAGTTCTGTTACCTTCCTGCTGGTGAGAGGAGCGGGACCTGAAAGAGAATCTCAGCTTAAGCTCCTCTTTGCCTTATAGATGCAATCTGTGAGCAGCAGTTGATAATATGCATTAAATCTGGGAACAGGCCAAATGTGGAAGACATCATAGAGCACTGCCCAAAGGAGATTATTAGCCTCATGAAGCACTGCTGGGAGGCGAACCCGGAAGTTCGGCCAACATTTGCTGGTAAGAGCTTCTATTATGACTGTGTAGGGTGCATTCCAGGTGGTGATTTTCCTAGTAAGATGTTTTCAGGAACTTGGTTTGGGTCTTTAGAAAACTGAGTTCCTCTTTACTTATGGTTTCAGATATTTTGTGCAATGAAAAGATGCCATCCCTCCCAAAACCATGAAGGCTGAACAAATGGACATTTTTCTATACAGTTTTCTTGGATAGGCCCTCTTGTTTTTTACCTTCTGTTATTTCCTTTCCCTTCCCTTGTTTATCTGGCATCTTTGTAAATGTATTTGGTCCTTCAGATTGGACCTGTACTAGAGGGAGAAAAAAAGGGACACAATGTTTGCCACATCCATGCACTTCTTCCCCATTCTGGTATATTACCTAGGATCTTGAGGGGGGTTCAGAGGAAAGAAGAAAATCAGTAGAGGAAAAAAGAAATAGTAAGAAGGCAGTAAGGCACTTCGCCCCCATATTTCTGCTCTGAGAAAACAGAATTAAAGCACCAAAGAATTCCAGAGGTACTTTGATTTAGTTACCTGTTTTCTTATGCACTTAGTCAGCCTTAATCTTCTGTTGTTTGTTTTTTTTTTTACTTTTATAATGCCTTTTTCATTTTTTTAATTAAAGTTTTTCTTTTGAGATAATTGTAGATTCAACATGCAGTTGTAAGAAGTAATATGGAGAGATCCCGTGTACTCAGTTTCCCCCCAATGATAACATCTTATAAAACTACAGTACAATGTCACAACAAGAGTAGTGACAAGGATACAGATACAGAAGAATCCCTCATGTTGCCCTTTTGTAGCTACATCCACCTCTTTCCCTTCACCCTCTCCTTAACTCCTGACAATCACCAGTCTGTCCTCCATTTCTAGTTTTGTCATTTCAAGAATGTTATGTAAATGGAATTACACAGTATGTAACCTTTTGGGGTTGGCTTTTTTTCACTCACCATAATTCTCTGGAGATTCATTTGGATTCTTTTGTGTATCCACAGTTTGTTTCTTATTATTGCTGAGTAGCATTCCATGATATGGATGTAGCAAAATTTGTTTAAACATTCACCCACTGAAGGGCATCTTGGTTTCTACTTTTTGGCTATTATGAATAAAGCTACTATAAATATTCATGTACAGTTTTTTGTGTGAATGTAAGTCTTCATTTCTCTGAGATAAGTGCCAAGGAGTGCAGTGACTAGGTCATATGACAGTTACATATACAGATTTAAAAAAAAAAACAAAAAACTGCCAAACTCTTTTCCAGAGTGGCTGTGCTAACTACATTGCCACCAGCAGTGTGTGAGTGATTAGTTTTGTCTGCATCCTCGCTAGCATTTGGTATTGTCACTATTTTAGCCATTCTGATAGGTGAGTAGTGATATCTCATTGTGGTTTTAATTTTTCTTTAATTGCTAATGATGTTGAATATCTTTTCATGTGTTTATTTCCCCTTCTTTGGTGAAATGCTACATCATGTCTTTTGCCCATTTCTAATTGGATTGTTTTGAGTTTTTTACTGTTGTTAATTTTTTTAATTGATGAGGGTTTACAGGGCAAATTACTTTCTTATTAATTAATACACATTGTTTTGTGACATTGGTTGCCGACGCTCTCCCCTCTTGACATTGGATTCCCCCTTACCAGCTTCTTGACCCCTCCTGCCTTCTCGTCCTTGCCCCTGGGCTGGTGTGCCCATTTAGTCTCGTTTTGTTTTATGGTCCTGTCTAATCTTTGGCTGAAGGGTGAACCTCAGGAGTGACTTCAGTACTGAGTTAAAAGAGTGTCTGGGGGCCATACTCTCGGGGTTTTTCCAGTCTCTGTCAGACCAGTAAGTCTGGTCTTTTTTTGTGAGTTAGAATTTTGTTCTACATTTTTCTCCAGCTCTGTCCAGGACCCTCTATTGTGATCCCTGTCAGAGTGGTCAGTGGTGGTAGCCTGGCACCATCTAGGTGTGCTGGACTCAGTCTGGTAGAGGCTGTGGTAGTTGTGGTTCATTAGTCCTTTGGACTAATCTTTCCCTTGTGTCTTTGGTTTTCTTCATTCTCCCTTGTTGCAGATGGGGTGGTACCAGTGGAATATCTTAGATGGCTGCTCACAGGCTTTTAAGACCCCAGCCGCTACTTACCAAAGTAGAAGGTGGAACATTCTCTTTATAAACTGTGTCATGTTAATTGAGCTAGATGTCCTTTAAGGCTATGGTCCCCAGCCCCCAGCCCAGTAATTTGGTCCTTCATAGAGTTTGCATGTGTCTGTGAAGCTTCCATGACCTTGCCTTGGTCAAGTTGTGCTTACTTCCTCAGTATTGTGTATTGTCTTACCCTTCACCAAAGTTACCTCCTATCCATTGTATAGTCATTGTATAGTTTTTCCCTCCCCACCCCTCCCTCCCTCTTATCCATCAAAGATTGTTTCTTTTTGTGTGTAAACCTCTTCATGAGTTTTTACAGTAGTAGTCTCATCCAGTATTTGCCCTTTTGTGATTAACTTATTTCAGTCAGCATAGTGCCCTCCATATTCATCCATGTTATGAGATGCTTTGCAGATTCATCATTGTTCTTTATCGTTGAGTAATACTCCACTGTATGTATGTACCATAGTTTGTTTATCCATTCATCTGTTGATGGGTATCTAGGTTGTTTCCACCTTTTTGCTATTCTGAAATAATGCTGCAATGAACATGGATGTGCATATGTCTATTTGTGTGACTGCTCTTTTTTTTTTTATTGTGCTTTAGGTGAAAGTTTACAGCTCAAGTTAGTTTCTCATACAAAAATTTATACATATATTGTTATGTGACCCTAGTTGCAACCCCTATGATGTGACAGCACACTCCCCCTTTCTACCCTGGGTTTCCCGTGTCCATTCAACCCGCTCCTATCCCTTTCTGCCTTCTCATTGCGCCTCTGGACAGGAGCTGCCCATTTAGTCTTGTGTATCTGCTTGAACTAAGAAGCCTACTCTTCATGAGTGTCATGGTTTGAATTATGTCCCCAAAAAAAATTGTGTATCAATTTGGCTAGGCCATGATTCCTGGTACTGTGTGATCTTCCTGTATGTTGTAAACCTGCCTCTACTGTGTTAATGAGGGAGGATATGTGGCAGTTGTGTTAGTAAGGCAGGACCTGATCTACAAGACTGGATTGTGTCTTGAGGCAGTCTCTTGAGATATAAAAGACAGAAGTGAGCAGTGAGACAGGGACCTCATACAATCAAGAAAGCAGTGCTGGGAGCAGAGCGCGTAATTCAGACCTGGGTCCCTGCGCCGGGAAGCTCCTAGTCTGGGAGAACACTGAAGAGAAGAAGGCCGACAGAGAGGAAAAAGCCTTCCCCTGGAGCTGACGCCCTGAATTTGGACTTTTAGCCTACTTTGACTTTGAGGAAATAAACTTCTCTTCGTTAAAACCATCCACTTGTAGTGTTTCTGTTATAGCAGCACTAGATGACTAAGACAACGAGTATTATTTTATGTTTTATAGTCCAGTCTAATCTTTGTCTGAAGAGTTGGCTTTGGGAATGGTTTTAGTTCTGGGTTAACAGAGAGTCCCAGGGCCATGTCTTCTGGGGTTCCTCTAGTCTCAGTCCAACCATTAAGTCTGATCTTTTTACATGAATTTGCGTTCTGCACCACACTTTTCTCCTGCTCCGACAGGGCCTGTCTATTGTGTTCCCTGTCAGGGCAGTCATTGGTGGTAGCCGGGCACCATGTAGTTCTTCTGGTCTCAGGCTGATGGAGTCTCTGGTTTATGTGGCCTTTTATCTCTTGGGCTAATATTTTGCTTGTCTTTGGTGTTCTTCATTCTCTTTTGCTCCAGGTGGGTTGGGACCAATTGATGCGTCTTAGATGGCCACTCGCAAGCTTTTAAGACCCTAGACACCACTCACCAAAGTGGGATGCAGAACATTTTATTAGTAAACTTTGTTATGCCGGTTGACCTAGATGTCCCCAGAAACCATGGTCCCCAGCCCCCGCCACTGCTGCTTTGTCCCTTGAAGTGTTTCATTGTGTTCAGGAAACTTCTTGGCTTTTGGTCTAGTCCAGTTGTACTGACTTCCCCATATTGTGTGCTGTCCTTCCCTTCACCTAAGATAATTCTTGTCTTCTATCTAGTTAGTGAATTCCCCTCTTGTGTGACCGCTCTTATTTCTCTAGCATATATTCCTGGGAGTGGGATTGCTAGATCATATGGTATTTCTATTTCTAGCTTTTTAAGGAGGTGCTATATTGTTTTCCATAGTGGTTTTACCATTTTACATTCCCACCAGCAGGGCATAAGAGTTCCAATCTCCCCACAGCCTCTCCAACATTTGTTATTTTCTGTTTTTTTGATTCATGCCAGTAATGTCGGGATGAGATGGTATCTCATTGTAGATTAGATTTGATTTGCATTTCTCTAATGGCTAGTGATATCGAGAATTTCCTCATTGTGTTTGTTAGCCGCCTGAATGTCTTCTTTGGTGAAGTGTCTGTTGATATCCTTTGCTCATTTTTTAACTGGAGTATTTGTCTTTTTGTTGTAGAGGTGTTGGATTTTCCTGTAGATTTAGGGATTAGACCTTTGTTGGATTTGTCATAGCCAAAATTTTTTTTCCAGTCTGTAGGTTCTCTTGTTACTCTTTTGGTGAAGCATTTTGATGAGCATAGCATTTAATTTTTAAAAGATCCCAGTCATCTGGCTTATCTTCTGGTGTTTGTGTATTGTTAGTTATGGTTTGTATACTATTTATGCTGTGCATTAGGGCCTCTAGTGTTGACCCTATTTTTTCTTCTATAATCTTTATAGTTTTTGGTTTTATATTTTAGGTCTTTGATCCATTTTGGATTTGTTTTTGTGTATGGTGTGAGGTATGGGTCCTTGTTTCATTTTTTTACAGAGGTCATTCAGTTTTGCCAGCACCATTTCTAAAAAGACTGTCTTTTCCCCATTTAATGGACTTTGGACTTTTGTCAAAGATAAGGTGACCGTAGGTAGATGAATTTACATCTGAGTTTTCAGTCTGTTCCATTGG